GTGTAGACTCGAGTATATAGCATACGTATTTGCTTATTAGGTGCGTTGGAACATAGGTAGTGCCGCTGTTCGCCTCTTCAAGTACAGGTATCTGTATGATGTTTTCATCAGGTCTCAGCTGCAATCTATCCTTCCCCAGTTGCCTGGGCCATTCGCAGGACAACGAAGAATTGTTACCAAAAATGGCCAGAGAGCCAATAATTCTTAATGTTTACGATATGGTAAGAATACTGATTTCTCTCCTTTCTTTCTCCGTTCTTGTTCATGTACCTTTTAAATAAGACACTTATTTGTTCCAGTATTGGATAAATGAGTACACTACACCGATTGGATTGGGTGTATTTCATTCAGGAGTTGAAATTTATGGAACAGGTACGATCGTAAAAAATTGTTACAAATTGCTTTAAAAAGGATCATCAATAAATGATATTATTCTTTCATAGAATACGCGTATGGAGGGCATTCAAAACCGATCTCTGGAATTTTTGAGATAACACCAAGAGTTGCCGAGGAGTTAGGGGAGCAGTTTAGGTATAGGCAATCAGTACACATTGGATATACAGATTTCACGGAAGAAGATGTATGCAGAATTGTTGCCGAATTAGGAAAAGATTTTAGGGGCGATCGTTACCATTTAATGAACAAGAATTGCAACCATTTTAGTAGTCAACTTACCATGGTATGTACTCTAAATATATACACATTACCGTTCTACATCGTATGATGTATATTTTTAACAGGACTTATATTACAGATTTTATGTGGTCAAGAAATCCCAGGGTGGGTAAATCGCCTCGCGTATTTCAGTTCTTGTGTACCATTCCTTCAACGTTGCCTACCGAAAGAGTGGTTGACACCTGACGCGCTGCAATACTCGTTGATTCAAGCCAGTCACGAAAGTACACCAACAGAAAGTACGTCTTCCGACACTTCATTGTAACATTCGGCCAATCTGACGAAACGGGGAGAGTACGAATGTGAATACGGACGGAGTTACGGATTAGATTGTCGTAGGAGATACACCTTTTAGAGAGTTTACGCGCAAAGGAAGTTTATCATGACATTAAACTACGTATATCGCCAGGATCGCGAGGAATCCGAGAAACAAAACCGTCAAAACGAGGTACAAATTTAAATAAATTGTACTCCCGAATTCCATTGGTGATTTAATCATACTGGAAAAATGCCTTTCTTGCAACGTGTCGTTTCCTCAATTTTGGACGGCAGTATAAAATGTCGTGAGTTCTCTATTGTATTACGCAGTTAAAATCGACGAGTAAATACGTAAATTAAAATAGAAGATAATTTCGTATAAATCAAAGGTGTGAAGAGACTGGAATGTAATTTATTTAGCGGTCACAAAAAAATATCTTTGTAAGGATTTATTTACCTATAATCATTTCCGTTTTCGATTGTATTCGCGGGAATTAGTATTTATATTTAAATTATTCACGATATTCATTCAATCTCGATTTTCAATGCGTTCGTTAAAGCTGGTTAGCTTAAAGATTATCATTTATACTTTATATACACATGCGACACCTCTCTGTACAGCTGCCATTAATACCCTTAGGAAGTTTAAATGAAGAATGAATTAATATTGACGTGATAAATAATCCAGTTATAATTTAATAAATATATGTTTTCGCTAGCACATCTCTGAAAAGGGCGTGAAACATATTTATAATTTTGTAAGTAAAATACCGAATCAACGATCTGCACCGCATGGATATAACATTCCGCAGAGGTGCTTCAGAATTTTGCACGATATAGAATTACATATAAAACTATATATTATAATTTTAAAGCTTTCGGCTTCTGATCATTTCAAAGCTTAGAGAGAATTCTAAGAGTTCTTTTCAAATATTCATGGTATACAAAATATTACTAATGTTACTAAAACTGTTGTTGACATCAAGTTTATAATGTTACATGTTAAAAGAAAAAGAATTCATAAATTTGAATAATATATGAATAGATAAAAAAAATTCATATTTCTATATTTCATATTTCTGTTTCATATTTCTAAAAAGTAACGCGAGAATTAGTGCCAATTTTAATGTTCTGTTAATTCGGGGTCTCGGTGAAAATAATATCAGGAACTCTCTCTTACGCATGTTACATAAAACTCAAACGTTCATACGTTACCACTCAAATATATTATGTTAAACGTTCACATGTGAATAACTTTTATTGAACGTGAATAATGGATTATTTGTAAAAACGTTTGATATAACAGTTTTGTTATCGTACTATAAAGTCCCAACAGAAGTTTATATTGTCGATATTGTTTAATCTAAATCTGAACTTGTGTTTTTAAATGGCATGTTCCCGAGGATTTCGCGGGGAAGAGATGTTAGAATTAATTGGTCGTCGGTCAATCTGATAGAACAAAGTATACATTGTTTTATACTCCTTACTTGACAATTGTAATTATACTTATTTATGGGAAAATGAGTATAGCGTAATGAAATAATAAAGTATACAAAGCACAATATACAGTATAAGTACAAATGCTTGCGTATCTTTTTTATGAACGATACTCAGTTTGTTGTTTCGTCTTATTGTTAATGATTTCTTTTTAAATAATAAATATTCTACCAGCTAGTGCCCCGTGTTATCAATCGAAATCGCTCCAAGAAATCTAAACTATGTTCTAACACCAATGGGATACATAAATCGTTATTAATTGTTACGTAAAATATTCTAACAACTCGTAAAAAAGTAAACTATCGAATCGTACAACCTATATATAAATATATATGTATATGCAAACGTTCGGTCGTACATTTTTGATTATGCGTACAAAAGAAGCATAATTATAGCGCAGTTTTTTTTTACATGTTACTGAACGATGTTACACAGAATTTCAGTGTCTCGTAATAATTTAATACCAAGGAAAGAAAGAACACAGAGAAATGTACGGTTCGAAGGGTCTAAAATCAATTCAAAATCGCGAGCTTATTTAGGAATTGAATTATTTACAAAAATTGTATAAAATCAACGCTATACAGATGTGATGACTATTTCTTCGTACACGTTCTATCAGTAAACGAACTATAATAATTAGGTTCGGATATAAGGCAACATAATAAGACAAACAAGTGCGTATTTGATTTTAGAACCCTTAAGTAACAATTGCGATTATAATATGCAAATCACTGAATCCCGTTGGTAAGTACAATTAACACATACGTCGCTACACTTTTTTTTTATAAACATGTGATGATATATTCTAGATTGGTTCTAGAACTCGTTCTTTTTTTTCAACTTCACTTTATTTCGGTACGGGACAGCGATACCTGTACTATTACATTTCCTTCGTTCGATAACATTAACACTCTTTTCTTCTATTAACGGTTTCTTCTATACTTTTTTAAATACAAGAATGTCAAATCTATTGCCGATATATATTTTATTTATAATTATATCCCCATGTCTCTTACTATTACACAAATGCGACGAAGACGTTTCATTTTTGGTAATATACGCGTGTTACAGTTAACTTACGATAACTTTACGTTTATCAACGAGTAATCTTTTATTAAAGAGTTGGAACTTTGATTTTTCGGTGTACTGTGTTTCGCGAAATGAATTTGCCCGGTGTTTAACATCTCCGATAGTTTGTAAACTTCTTGGGATTCATTTAAGGATGTATTGGCTATACAGTCAATCCCAAAAATTTATGTACCTTAGAAAAACGCATTTCCTATAATTATAAAGAAATCAGACGTCGGAAGAACAATGCTAATAATAAATAGTTATGTGCTAAAAAGTATAGAAGGAAATATCCAATTA